CCCCAAAACCCCAAAACCCCAAAACCCCAAAACCCCAAAACCCCAAAACCCCTCCCCCACTCCTAATCATTGAACCCAAATTTCTTGTTGAGCTACTACAATAGTTCGGTCACCCCAAACCTCTAAACCCACCTATTCCTTCGACCTTCCCTCTATTACCTTACATTACCTGTTCTAGTCCAAGCTTGGTTCTATTGTTATAGGCTTGCACACTTCTGAGAGAGGGAGAAAAAGGGGGTTGGGAGAAGAATATGAGAGAAGTGAGCAGATTTAGAAGAATATTTAAGGAAGATGGGATATTTTGAAGAAGTTTTAGGGAAGAAGACCATATCCAACTACTAAATCCTTAAACTAGCCCAATGGACTATAAACTCTGGATTTCCTTTAATAAATCTTCTTATGAAGAACCATGAAGGAACAGGCTGGAAATCAGGTTTTGGGGGTTCAAGCAGGAAGAGAGCTATTTTGGCAGATTCGGCCTGGCTTTGGGGATTTTGAGAGAGCGAAAGAATTTTAGGGGTGAAAAGGGGGTTTTGGGGAGTAAGGGAAGTTTTAGGGCATATTATGGGAGAAAAATAGGGATGTGGAAACTAGAGTTTTTATGTGTCTAGGTGGTTTTATGTTGATAGAAGCTTTAGTATATTAAGGGAATAATTAAAGAAGAGCGAATCAAGATAATAGTGACTTTTGATAATTTTATTGGAAATTTATAAACAAAATTAGAGGAATAATAGAAAATTTGATTGTTGGTCAGAAATCGGATTGAGACTTCAGAGTTTCGGCGAAATTCCTACAGTATTAATTTACATTGTTAGAGTGAAACATTTTTATGACTGTTTTTAAATCATGAATTGATAAAATCAAGCTGAGCGATTGATATAAGACCGACTCTGCAAACTATATAATCCTAAATAAAGGTTTAGGTTTAAAACACTCACTGAAAGCTTTGCCGTTTTTGGGAGAAAATTGATTTTGAAATTGTCGGAGGCATTATAATTCATTCATTCAAAAAAAGTTTATAATATAGGGGTTTTGGGGTTTTGGGGTTTTGGGGTTTTGGGGTTTTGGGG